ATATATATATATGTATATATATATATATATATATATACATATATAATTATGATCAGTCCTTAATGACGCACTCTCTATCAGCTCTATCAACTTTATGATTTATGACAAGCTTTAGGATGATAAGAATAATTTTACTCCTCGTAAGTTTACCCACAACAACGTGACTCGGTTTATTGTCATAATCAACTGTGTCATTCAAAACTCACAGGTTTATTCAGATAAAAGTAAAACTTTAAATATTTTGATCAGCAAATTATGCAAAGAAATTAGATTTTGATGCAATTATATAAAAGTTTTCAAGAAAAATGGTTATTTTTTATGTTAGGCCGATACTTTGGTTATTATTTTAGTTATTAACTTAGCTATTTCATTATATTTCTAATTATTTTGACCCTTTTTAATGATTAAACTATACCTATTATCAGAATACTTTTTATTGACGCTTCATATATTAAAAAAAATGTAATAAATTAAGACAGATGTTATAACAGTTTGATTTTTTTTTATTCAGAAAAAAGCTTTAGAAAACTAAAAGCTCCAGAAACCAAAATAAGGACCTTCTCCAAAAAAAATTTAAATTTAAAAAGCAAAAAATCCTTTTTTTTTTTATTGGGAAATGTATTTAAAATACATTTTTAGAGTTACAAAAATAAATTTATTTGTCAATTTAAAATTATTTTATTAAAACCTTATAAAATCTATTGTTTGTCATTTAATTGCCATTAGTTAAATAAAAAAGAATGTTAAGGTGGCTTGGTAAAAGTTACGCGTGGCTTTAACCTAGACAATAAATTTGATCCTATAATGCTCTTCTCCGTTTTTCAACTTTTTTTTAACATTTTTCCTGTCTTTTGTTGTTTTATCGAATACTTTTTTTTAGTAACTATGTATTATCATTGTTTAGAATCGCCTTTAGAATCGCGATTACTTGCAAATTACGAGTTAAAACCATATATACTTTTGTTTTTGTGTAACATTACTTTGAATGTAAAGCTTCTAACTTTTTATTCAGTTCTTTTTTTAAAAACATTGATTGTATTGGTAGAGAAGAGGTTAAAATGTTTGTCTTCTTAAGTTAATCTTATGTCATGCGTCTTAATACAACTCCTTTAATTTAAAAAAAAACTTTAACAAAACCTTGACAAAAAAATTTTAGCATTTTTTAGTTAAATTCACCAAATTTATGCTGCCATTTGTTTTAATTCCTATTTACATTTACTCGAACCAAAATTAACTTCAATTCCTATAAGGTTATAACCTTATAAGAATTGAAGTTAACGCCATTTAATAATTGTTTGTTCTTTATTTTTAGAATATTTAACTGGTAAAGTAGCTAGTTTAACCTCTTTTCACAAACTTTGTATTATTTCTGCATTTATAAAAAAAAGTCTTTTTTTTAACTCGATAATCTTTAACGCCATGTATATCTTCGGCTAAATACTTTGGTCTAAAGAAACTTACTAGTCATGTTGATTTTAAAGAACACGTCATACCACACTACCAAAACAAACTTCAAACTAAAATTGGTTTTTGAAATAATCTTTGCATATGTCCGTGTTTTACCTTGCTCATGTTAAACCTTTGTTGATATCCAATAAACTATTTTGGAACACTTTTTATTTTATTCTTCTCATTTTTGCAACTGCTGTGCAACAACAGCACTGAGCAGGTATGTTTACTATGACATTTCCTATTTTTATTGAGTACAATACCCTTTCGTACTTGCCAGTCACCAGTTAACAACAAAAAATATTTAATTCATTTATTGCTAACAAGGATGGGAATATTTTTGATTTATTGAGAGCTATCTTATTTAGAATACTAGCATTTATTTTGGGAAAAAAAAATGAACTAGGGCTATATTTATATTTAAAATTTGGTTGTATTTTTCACTTTTCTAGTCAAACGTCTTACCTTCTATGCTTCGATGCGCGAGCACAATTGGCTTAAAGCTTTTTTGCGTTATTTTTTTTTTCGATGATCTAATTTCGAGTTCACGCTATATTCATTGCACAGGGTAATATATATTGCTATAGGTTGTACAGTTTTTTTTTTTTTTTAATACGATAGGATTTAAAATGCAAATGACAGCATAAGTTTAGCTTGTAAGATGCTGCAAGCAAGATACTTCTGTAATTTCAAAATATGATCCAAAGTTTCCTTGATTGTAATATTTTCCTTAATTAATCAGTGATAAAATTAAAGGGTTGAAGAAATAGTTCAGATATATATATATATATATATATATATATATATATATATATATATATATATATATATATATATATATATATATATATATATATATATATATATTATATATATATATAGTTTTCACTGTGAAGATGAGAATAACTTTCAATCAATTTTGTTATTTTTACTTGTTTTTACTTCATTAAAAAAAACAAAAATAGTAATTTTGCAAAAACGTATCTGTTTCCGATTACAGTGCAATCAAGTAAGTCAAATTATGGTTAAATGTATAGTAGATTTTTCTGTTTCTGTTAATCAAATCATAAATAAGATAGGCCATCTTTAGTTAATAAATTTTTGTCGTTTAAGTGTTAAGTAAAGTATTCGTTGTTTGTTAATTAAATAAAATAAGTTAAGGGTTGTTATTCTCACGTGATCAAATGAACAATTGTTTGAACTGACTTTCTGGTTCTTACGCTTATATCTTCTGACCTTCTTTTAGACCCTATTTAATGTTTAATTGTTGTCAGTTTATGTATGCATATGTAACAAGAAGGATATATATGTATATATATATATATATATATATATATATATATATATATATATATATATATATATATATATATATATATATATATATATATATATATATATATATATATATATATATATATATATATATATATATATATATATATATATATATATATATATATATATATATATATATATATATATATATATATATATATATAAGTTGTTTTTTTTAAATTAAAAAAATGAAAGTACGTATTATTTAAATTTAGAAAGGGTTCTTTTATAGTTCTATTAAATATATCAATAGATTTTTTTTATATATATTTTTGTCCACAGGGTTTACAAGCGTGGTCCCCGACATGAAATACAGAAGTATGATTTTTGGCGTGATGTTTGTGAGATGTAGTATCTATTTATTGAGTGTCTTGTTTTATATTTATGAATAATAAGAGAGAAGTTTTTATAAAAGTATTTTGGAATTAATTCGTTTTGAAGTTTAAACATATATAACAATTTATGGTAGATGTTTAATTTGTATACATATAGGTCATTTATTTCTTTGAGTTACGGCTCGACACTTTATCTATCCATTCCCGAAACTAATCAACTTGATGGCTTCTGTTTTGTATAAATAGTTTTAGGAAAGATGAGTGATTGTTTGCCCAGGTAATATTACAAAAGTTAATATGACTATGTATAAACGAAAAATATAAATTTTTTAAACATATTTTATTCAAAAGAGGTTTAGTATTATACATTATCCCTAAGTATTTGAGACTTTGTTCTCGACTAACTTTATTTGGCTTTTCCAATTTAAGTGTTCGTCGAAAATTATTCAAAGTATTTTCATTGAAAAAACTCTTTTAATTTTAATATTGTTGATAGTTCTGTTCTGGTTGGTGGTTCTGTTCTGTTGATAGTTAGTTCTGGTAGTGTAAGTGGAAGGTCTCGGATTTAGATGGTTTAGCAAACAAAATATACTTTATTTTTTCAATATTCAATGAATGTTTATTTGGGAAAACCACTTATTGAGATATGTAAGTTCTGTATTTACATTACAATAAATATTTTTTAAATTTGAGTCAGAAAAGAAAACATGAGTGTCGTCAGCAAAAATAATATAGTTAAGTATTTTTAATGACAAATAAATTTCATAAATATAAATTAAAAACAGCAAAGGTCTAAGTATTGATCCTTGTGAAACTCCATTACTTATTGACTCAAATGGGGAGCATGTTAAACTAAATGGTACTACTTGTTTACTATTTTCTAAATAACATTGAAGCCACTTTAAGTTAGAGTGAGCTACTCCGTAATTACATAGTTTGTAGATAAGAATCTTGGGGTTGACAGTATCAAAGGCTTTAAATAGATCTAGAAATATTCCGAGTGTGTAATTATTGCTTTCAAAACCATTTAGAATATGATTCGCAAGAACAATTTCTGCATGCTCCATGCAATGGTTTTTGTGAAAATCAAACTGTTTATGATAAAGAACGTTATTAGTTTCAAGATAATTGTACAGCCTGTTGTGCATAATACGCTCTAGTATTTTGGGAAAAAGAGAGAAAGTATGGAAATTAGTATATAGTTAGATTTTATCAAGCCATTCCCGCTTTTGTATATCGGAATTATTTTTGCTAGTTTTAGTTGATCTGGAAAAATGCCGTTTCTTAGAGAAAGATTAAAAATTATAAAAAGAGGTTTCTCAATAATATCAGAGCCGCTTTTACAACATCATTAATTTCATCTAGAACTGCACTATTATTTTTTTTCAGCATACTAATTGCAAACCGAAGTTCATCAACCAAAAGCTCCGACTCATCCATTATGGAATCTGATTTTTTCAAAAAGGAATCAAATGATTTACTTCCTTCAGGAATTACACTGGCTAGTTTTTTCCCTATATTTATGAAAAATTCATTAAATGTTTTTGCAATTTCTTTATTTATTATTCTTTATTTATAAGCATCTCCTATATAACCATCTCATTGCAATCTTTTTGAAATTATCAATTTTCACATTTCCCATATTATTGGAACTTTTTGATATTGGAACTTTTTAATTGTAACACGATATATACTACATATATAATTTTACTATGACATATTAATGGAAGAGAAATTAAAAAAAAAAACTTTTATTAGACTATTTCCCGGTAAAAGTCAGTAAAAGAGTTTCTGCGAAACGTATGTATTATATTAGCCGCGCCTCCAGACTTTTTTAATACTAGCGTAAAAAAAAATATGTATAAGACAAAATGCACGAAATTTTTCTTCAAAAAAGTTTTATTGGTTCAATACTCGACATTTTAAAATTCACTTCATTTTAAATTTGAAAACATCAATACATTTTTTTTTTTTAAATTCCTTATGTTTCTAAGAATACTTTTGGAAATAAATGAATTACATAAACACGTATAAAAGTATATTCCGCATCATAAAAAAAATGTTTCAGAGTTATATTCATCTGTTTTTTTATCACAATATGGATCAGGATGGTCAAGTATTGAAAATAATCCATTTGCAATCTTTGAACCTGTTAGTAATTTAAATTCTCTTAAATCTTCGAAAGCGAAAAATTCTTCACCCGGGTATTTTTCAGTTAATTCGTTATAGGCGTATCGGTATGATTGAATAGGACTGGGCACGTTAAAGTCAGACATAGGGTTTAAAAATGTATGTTTTACTTTTGATTGCTCAAAAATACAACAAACTTCTTTCATAATTTCTTGTCCAAAATAATCGAGGCATTTATGAATGTAAGGTAGCGACTTGCTTAAATGATTCTCCAGCTCTTTTATGTAAAAGTGATATTCATCTAAAGGAATATGCATAAATATATGTTTTACTTTAATCTTTTGAACGCTCTCTTTAAGCCAATTAAAATAGAGTTTATGATAACGGCTCAAACCTTTCGGAACAGTTATAGATTTTACTTTTGTTCCTTCCTTTATAAACTTAAATGCTTCATTTCTTGTAATACTTAGCGAGAGTGGTCTTACAACACCCGGATTAGATACTTTTTTTTTGTTGAAAAATTCAATTTTCCAACGACAGTCCCAAAGGCATACTCCAGAAACCATATGATCAATACTTGGTGGAATTTTTCCGTAAAGTCCCTCCCATAAAATATGCGATGGGTTTCTAAGGTGACGAGATGTTAATAAGATATTAAGAGATTTGTTAATAGCAATTTCATCAAATACTTCAAATCCAGCTACTTTAAGTCTGCTTTTATCGGAAAAGCTGATACTCATTTTCAACTGTAGATAAGAAAGTATAGATACAAATAATAAAGCATAAAATAGTTATGTATGATATTAAAAAATGTTATAATGTAAAAAATAATAGTAAAAATAATAAATAATAACCTAAATAAAAATAATAATTAGTCACCTAAATTTGGTTAAAAACATAAACATCAGTATTAAAAACCTAATAAATAACTAAGATGTTAAAGATGTTAAGTAAATTTATATACTTACTTGACATTTTCCGGAAAGGTTCTTGTTTTAAAGTAGATAAAATGGATAACTCGGATAACTACAATTCAAATTTAAAACTAAAAGATACCTCCGACAATGCACTAATTATTATTAAAAATCTTTAATACTATTGTTTTAATTTTTACTTTATTGAAACTATATTTCAATACGTATTTGTTTCGTTGACACGCAATTTCAGCGTATACTAATAATGTATGGTGTGATCATGCACTATTACAGTAAATGAAAATTAAAAAGTAGGGCTTACTTTCAATTTTGCATGGTTCACTTGAGTAAATTTACTTAAGTAAACCATTTACTTTTTCTGATGAAATACTCTATTTATACTCGTTCAATTTTTTTTTTAATATTTAATATATATTTTATAAATTATTTAACATATATATGATAAATATTTAATATATATTTGATAATTTGTTTCGTAAATTGAAAAAATATAAAATACAAACAATGGCGTGCCAATGATATCTATATTACCTTATTACTAAGCCCCGAAGCTGTGACGTAATGACGTAGTGTCTTGCAATCAAAAAAAACTACAATTTCTTTTTAGCATTAAAAATTCTAAACATGTATTGTTAAGATAAGTTACTAAGTTATAGAATAAAAAAAATATTCCTTATAACTATATCTAATTAGTTAATAATTAAATAATTTTGTTAAAAACTAATGTTAAGTTAATAAAATATATAAAAAGAAAAAATACAATACAAATTAAAAAAATTTGTTGTTAAAAATATTAATAAATAAAGAATTTTAGCGAAAAAATTATTTCATTGACATTATTAACAAGTTTTTTTGTTTTTTCTGTGCAATAAAATATTTCGTAACTTTGGACTTCTGACGCACGTAAAAAAACACACAAAAGTAATGCATAAAAATAAGGATTTGAATAAAAAATAAGGATTTTATAAAGATATAACTGAAAAACCTTGATTATGTTTTTTAAATAGATCTTAGGAAACAAAATTATTCAGACAGCATGTTTTTTGACAACTTTGCAGTTAATCTTAATTTTTTTTTTCTCACTCTTCAGTAGTTTTCTTACGCCTTTTTCTTACTTCTCAGTACTTTCTTACGCCTCAGTATATATTTCAATGTTTACAAATATATAGTTCATATATAAACGCAAATTCCCTTTAAAAAAATACACACATAAATGTAACTGTACCGCACATACTTACAATACATAAAGAAGGTTAATAATTGCGTTTTTCCACAACGCTCCAATTGAAAGAATTGAGTTGAAAATTTTTGGTTAATATAATGGCTGGCTATTTATTTAAGAAATGCATGCAACTTCGTCGCACCACTGTGTTAGTTAGGACTTACCCGTCGTCGTTGTTAAAAATATATAATCTATATAATAGGATATAAAAATTTATTCTTATTATTGTTAATCCAAAATGCATATCTGTAAAGGATAATTCGTAGAAAACTAGGGAGTTTTTTTGTCGAGTACCTTAATTTAATGATTTAAATATAAAATACGGTCACCATTGTTAAATCACAGCGAATGATACACATAAATTTTCAATACCTATTAGTAAAACTGTTTCAATTGAGTATAAGATACTTGATTGTTTTTCAAAGTTGCATTAGAAATTCGAAAATGCAGTCTAGTAACAAGTCTATTAGGGCTTTTCTTTAAATTTTGTTTTATTAAAGTTTATTGCGCATAGCATTTGTTATGGAAAAAAGTTTTAGAAAAAGTTAAAGAAAAAAAGTTACAGAAACTTTTATAAAGTGTGTCTCAAAGATGTGTCTCAAAACCATACAAAAAACACAATAGGTAAGGGACATTTTGAACGTCTTTTTTTTGAACGTTTTGGACGTTTTTTAAACTTTAGGTATATATATTTATACATTTTTTTTTTACCCTGTAAACAACTTATACACTACTATGTTATTTTGCATTGCTATTTTGTTTTGCATTTGGCACAAATATTTTTAAATAAGAAAATATTGTTAACTTTGAGTAATACAAAAAAGAAAGTTAAATATATCATTTAAAACTAATGGATCAGCCTGTATCAAAAGCCTCAAATTATATATCATTAAATACCTGAGAGGTTTATAATTGGTTTATATAAAATTATATATCATTAAACACCTGAGATCGTGCTTTATAATTGGTTTGTATAAAATATAAGCTGCCTTAAGGAATGCACTTTTAAATTTTAAAAGTCGACGTTTTTCGTGCTTCAGTTTTTTTAACGACAACAATAAATTTAAGAGATTTAAAATGAAAGAAACTGCAGATTTACATAATAATAATTTTATTATAAAATTGAGTTTCAAAATAAATACCTTGTATTTTGATGCTTTCTAGTTACTTCATAGTATTCGCTTAATAAACATTTAGATTAAAACCATTGTTCGTCATTTTAAATTTCATTATAAAAATCTTTACAAAATAATAAAAAATCAGAAACTACAAAAAAATTTATGTAACTTGTATCTTGTACAAGTTTGAGAAATTACCAATATTATTTGTTAATTATTTTATAATTTCCGTGAACAATAAAATTATAGGTGATTGAAAAAAAAAACGCGATAACAACCGGTATGGTGGCAGTGACTAAGTTACCAGCTCGTAAAAAACTTGTAAAAAAGCTTATTTATTACAATACATTTTAGTTTACTTTTTTTCAAAATAACTAACGGTCATTTAAAAATAAATAAATCTTTTAAATTATTTAAGGTAAAATAATTTGCTGCAAAATAATGATTTACACGCGAAGATTTTTAATTTTATTTCCGATTTTGAAGAATCTAATAATATTTTGTCAATTCTTTCAAAATTCATTTACCAGGCTAAAAAAGAAACAGAAAAAATGCACTGTTTGAAAAGACAAACATAACTTGGTTAAAAAAAAAACCATATTTGACCAGAAAAAAAAATCAAAACTTGAAACAAACTGTTTTATTTGTCAACATTATTCGCAAACAAGTTTTGGAAGATCTTCTATATCGCGGAGTCTTTTTGATTTTTCCTAAAGTTGGAGTTCTCCTACTTTAAAAAATAAACATGAAAAAATTAATTTCTCAATAGATAATTTGTTTAAGCTTTTTTGATCTTTTTTATAAATGTTTCCTTGATGAAAATTAAAACATTTGGTTGTGTTTTTTTATTTTATTGTTAAAGGGTGTTTTATATTTAAATTGTTTTTTTGAAAGAAATTTTTTAAATTAATATGATTTTTTGTTGTTGTTGAAATAGTTGGTTTATTATTAAATTATCAATATCATTGTTATTATTATTATTGTTATTATTATTGTAATTTCTTGTTAAACGGTTACATGACCATACGATCCTCTTCGAGTTATCGTGTTCTTATATATTCAGAGGTGGTTCTACAAACAAAATGAAGATGTTGAATCTATAAAAAGTACCAAGTTGTTCCAAAAAAAAAAAAATAATGTCCTCCAAACAAAAATTTACCCGACTTAATACTGTTAAATACCGACTAGCCGACTATAATTTAAAATCACTTTCTTTGGGGTGGTGGAACAACTTCCGTAAAATCGTCTCTGTATGTATTATGTAAAACAGCATTTTACAAGTGATTATTGTTGTAAGATCAACAACCACAACAAAAACTAATGAAATAATTTTCAGGCCAAATTTATTTTGTAAAGTTCGTTGAGTTTTGAAACCTACTAAATAACTTTATTTTGTTAAAACATTGTTGGCGATGATAAAAAACCGATATCTTGTGTAAAAAACTAAAAAAATTTAAAAGCTACGCCGACTTGCAACTCGCTTGGCTGAGCATTAAGTTCTTTCTTTCTTGGCTGAGCTCTTAAGTTTTTTACTTAAGGCTAATATTAGTTTAAGTTTTTTACAAGGCTTTTAAAGTTTTTTAGCAATTATAATTTGTTTAACGAACAAATACCTAATGAATGGATGTAAAAAAAAGACGTCTTTCATTTTTATTACGCAAAAGTCTATGATCAAAAGTGGTTCAAGTTCAGTTAAACAATTAATAAAGTAAAATAACAAAAAAAATTTATTGAATTTTTTAATGTCAAAATGCTTTATTAAAGTTATTTAAAAAATTTTATATAGTTAATTAGGCCTGAAGATATATTGGCAAAAGGATCTGGAACGAGTAGATATCCTTACATTAAATGAAAAATATAAAGTTTCAAATAAATTATTCTCGCACTTAAATAATGAGGACCGTCAGTGATAACCGCACTCTGGACCAAATTTACAGTGAATAAAGTTTGAATTATTTTTTTTTCTTTTTTTAAAACCTCATTTTGTACAATAACACTTCTTTCATGACTGGAAAGAACAATTGAATGCAAAAAATAATTTAGATAAAAACGACAAGCCAAATTTTTAAATATAGGCAGGATATTTGTTAAGTTTATTTGGATCGTCTGGAGGTGACGCTTGCATAGAGTCTACCAACTGTTTTTGGACAGTAAAGCAGACTTACGTTTTCTTTACTTCGCCTACAAAACATTTTTTAAAGTTGTTAAAACCATTATAAAAGAAAAGTAAACGGGCTTGAGAGATGTTAAATTGAATACTCAATATTGTCAAGAAAACAAAAAAAAATGTTAATGACGACTTTACGGTATTAGCAATAATGAAATGACAAAATGACAAAAAGAGAAAAGTCTAATAAAACAAAATTTTTTTACAAATTGATTGGTTGAATATACGCTCTATAGACTTGTATAGTTTATTTATACATCTACAACTTTATAATCTAAAATATATATTTAGAACTCTACCCTACTTAATCCTTAGTACTACTATATTTAGTTTTTTTATCCTAATAAAAAAACTAAATATTTTGATTGAGGTATAAACTTTAGGATATCAAATGACAATCAAAAGAGATTACGCAAAATAACATCTAAATAAATAATAATAATAATAATAATAATAATAATAACAAAATAAAAATAAAAAACGAGTAAAGTGATATTAGAGACTATTAATGTCTACAGACGTGATGGTGTGATTGATTGTGGCGTGTTTTGTTTTATCGTTTGTTTTGATCTGGTTAAATTTGCATTCTATTTCAACATTTATCCCCCTAAGTCATAACCTTTGTCCTAAGTCAAAAGAGCTAGGACCTTGTTCCTTTGTGAAATGACAGTGAACATTTGTGATCTGAGCACATAGTCAGCAAGCGATGATAAAAGATCTTCAAATGGAGCAAAGATTTTGACGTACAAGAAAGAGCAGAATATTCTTTCAAAAATGGAGAAGTTTAAGTTAACATTTAAAATAGTGTTTTGGAGCATAACTTTAATCTGGAAGTCTTCAAAAAATTGCAAGATCGAAAAACAACTTTATAAGCGTTCGTTTTATTGTTGTCACTGCCAGCTGATTAAGTTCTGGCGTTGAAAGGTTGTCACGACTGTTGAAGTTCTAGCGTTAAATTGTGACAACTGTTACGATTTTATCGATATTATCGATTTTATCGGAGCCACTTTTTAACTGCTTTTTAATAAAAATTTAAGTAAAAACACCAAATATATATATATATATATATATATATATATATATATATATATATATATATATATATATATATAT